CGGCCTGGGGAGAGGGCAGACGGTGCGGGTCATGGGCGTTCTGTGTGGGAAGTTTGGGCCAGTTCTATCATTGGTGGGGTTCAGAATGCTCTTTGATTGTTGGTGAACTATAAATCCCAGTAACTACAACTCCCAAATGTAAATGTCTAATTTCCCCAAACTCTACCTGTGCTCACAATTGAGCATATTGAGTATTTGTGCCAAGTTTGGTCCAGATCCATCATTGTTTGCGTCCACAGTGCTCTCTGGATGTAGGTGAACTACAACTCCAAAACTCAAGGTCAATGCCCACCAAACCCTTCCAGTATTTTCTGTTGGACGTGGGAGTTCTGTGTGCCAAGTTTAGTTCAATTCCATCATTAGTGGAGTTCAGAATGCTCTTTGATTGTAGGTGAACTATAAATCCCATCTCCTAAATGACAAAATCAACCCTCCCCCAACCCCACCATCATTCAAATGTCGGCGTATCAGATATTTGTGCCAAATTGGTCCAGTAAATGAAATACATTCTGTATTTAAGATATTTACATTACAATTCATAACAAGAGCAGAACTACAGTTCTGAAGTAGCAACAAAAACAATTTTATGGTTGGGGGTCATCACAACATGAGTACCTGTATTAAGGGGTCACGGCATTAGGAAGGTTGAGAACAACTGATCTATGGCAAGCATCCTCAGTGGTTGTTAGATGACAACAATCCTATCTCTTCAGCCAAAAGCAGGCCCTCACTTCCCATTGAAATACTAATAAGCTTATATCTGTTAAAATTGTTCTTTATTTATTGTATTGTTTTAAAGTGGGTTTTTTTGCACTACAAATAAGATATGTGCAGTGTGCATAGGTATTCATTCATTTTTTTTCACATTATAATCCCGCCCTCCAACAGTTTGAGGGACCGTGACCTGGCCCTCTGTTTAAAAAGTTTGAGGACCCCTGTTGTATAGTCACTCCTCCACATTTGCAGATTTGACATTTGCTCATTTGATTATTCATAAATTTAATTACAACGTTCCCTCTAAGAATCTCTAGTTCTCCAGTGCAAGTCTATGGTCAATAATCTAGAGAGGTGCTAAAAACATCATTTTTATTCACAGTTTTTCACTTCTGCAAATGTGGAGAGCTGACTGTATTGCAAATGGACAAACTCAATAAAAGAAGCCATTACCCAAAGTTTAAAGGACCTAAGAAGGATAGTTAGTTACACAGAGTCTTGGAAGTCTTGCAGTCATAGCATCATTATAAGCTGAAGTTGACTTGCTGATAAATGACCAGATCTCAGATTATATGCCTAAACCAAATGAGTGCCTGCATCCAATACAGTAGTGGTTCTCAAACTGTGCACCTCCAGATGTTTTGGACTTCAGCTCCCACAGTTCCTAACAGCTGGTAAACTGGCTGGGATATGTGGGCGCTGAAGTCCAAAACACCTACAGGAAAAGAGTTTGAGAAATACTACTGTGGAGTACCATGTCAACACATAATCTATGCATTCTTATTTTTGCATAGCACAACATGGCACTTACAAGTACAGTGAATAATTTTAGTCTTGCTTCTCCTTCTTGTATTTCTCTATCTAGAATTTTGTGTTAAGAGAGAATGTTCCATTCATTTAGTGTACAGAGTAGATTATCTGGATAAAATACCACAGATCACAATTGTACATGTTGCTATGTAAACTTGAACCAGGAGCAGGTAAAGAATGACCCATAAGTTGCAAGGCATTACCCAAATCCATTTTCATGGCTGCCACAGCTAAACCCTCTAAATGTCCCACCAAGATGGTTGTTAAAGAAAACGAGACACCCTCCCCACACCGGAGCCCTCGGTGGCGCAGTGGGTTCAACCCCTGTGCCGGCAGGACTGAAGACCGACAGGTCGGAGGTTCGAATCCGGGGAGAGGCGGATGAGCTCCCTCTATCGACTCCAGCTCCTCATGCGGGGACATGAGAGAAGCCTCCCACAAGGATGATAAAAACATCAAATCATCCAGGCGTCCCCTGGGCAACGTCCTTGCAGACGAACAATTCTCTCACACCAGAAACTACTTGCAGTTTCTCAAGTTGCTCCTGACATGAAAAAATAAATAAAATAAAACCCTCCCCCCAATTCTGGAGGCCCTAGAACTAGGCCCTAGCTCCCCTCTGGATCTTTCCATGCCCACCCACAAAAAATATCAGTGTAAAAAATGTGAATTCTTATAACCCCCCAGTAGTGGCAATTTTACATTAAAGGAAGAACCCGATCCTTCTGCCTTATTTAACCTTAAATGGATGTCCAGCTGCATTCAAAGAATTATTTTCCATTTGAGGTCTGATGTGGTCCATGACAGGTTGGAAATTTGGCTCTTAGGCTTCAGATCTTTCCCACTTCTGTAATCAATGTATTTTTTTTCAGGGAACTTTCATGAACTTTAGCCTGAGCTCTGTTAATTGGGGACAGTTCTGGGAAATAACTTCAAAATATCTTTCAAGTATGTTATATTTGAAACCAGTGATTTACGACTTCATCAGACGGGCTACGTGGGCCTTACTACACTTGTACTCCACTTTTTGGATGGAGCCCATCACACAACACACATGTACTTCCAGTCAGGCTCCATCCAGAATAGAGAGAACAAGCAGTGTATGCCACTGCTGGAACAAAATGGGAGGTGTCCTGTGTTGCCATACAAGGCATGGCCCAATTTACCGGGCCAAAGAAGTTGCGGTGCAGGGCGTCCCCCACTGCCATTCTAGCCTTAGGGGACTTCTTCCTCCCAGAAGCCCCATCTGATGGCGGGAAGGTTTCCCGCCGATGGGTCAATGGCCCAATGGCCAGCTGACCATGCCCATCGAGGGGGAGGCCCGAGCTGGCCTCTCCCCCCTTTGTGCGGCAGCCTTCATAAGGCTGCCCCAGGCTCCCCAGCAGGCACTGGGCCTGCAACAGCTGATCCATCCCGCCCACCCTGCATGTGATTTATGTTTTCATTGGCAGTTACTTTTGTGGGTGTTTACCTTGTCTTGGTTACCTGTTAACAGTTACTTGTTTGTTTTATGCTCCTTGTCACAACTCCTTGTTGGCGTGGGACATGGGCCCTGGATCTGGTCTGGTATCCCCCCTAGTGGAAAGGGGGAACGCCTGGTGGCCCAAGGGTGCCGAGTTGTGTTTGCCCGGTATTGTGCCGGCGGCACCCTGGCGTGTGCAGGATCGGGCAGTATTGGGCTGTCCAATCGTGATCCAGGACCCATGCTTGGCTGCCAACCCTTGTTCCTGTTATCAATAAATGAGTTGTGGCCATTGTTCATCCCAACATCATGTGTGAGCGTACTTCTTGGTTGGCTGTGGGAGCTGTATCACACTTGCACACACAATAGCAATAGGGGGAAGCTGGGCAGCAACGTTTCCTCCAATGGAATGAGGGGACAGGCAAGTCTCTCAATGCGGGGTGTGGAGTGATGGCTTCTGAATGCCCCATGACAGAAGTCCATGGATTCATTATGATGTGTGATGAATCCACAGACCTTTGTGATGAAGTCCTAAGTGACCCGGTGACAAAAAACAGGACTTTTCAAAGCAAGCGAGAAAGTTGAACGTTTGTGTTTAAACTAGAATATAATTATATTTTTCTTTTAAACATATGGGAGAAAACCACTGATAATACCAATTTGAAATTTTGTGCTGAAACAGTTCTGTTCCCTAACCAATATATCATCATTATCATCATCATCATCATCATCATCATCATCATCATCATCATCATATTTAATTACTTATTAATCGCCCTCCATCCGAGAATGCTCTAGGCGATTTACAGCTAAATTGTAAAAAATAAAATACATACATACAAATCAAATCAAATCATTTATTTCGGTCATTGGCCAGCACAGGAAATAGAGTCACATTTCCACACAAACCTGGCATGTTTGGTACATTAAAAATATAAATATAACTACTAAAAGCACAATATGGGTGAGGGAGCAGAAGGGGAAACAGGGTAAAAACATACAATGCCCAGATCCATCACCAAATTGTAGATTCAGGGAAGAAGATTACTGGACACACAGTTGACTTTTGGGACTAGTCATTCCCTGACGGATTGTGTATGCTGCTGCACAGAACTTTGCGACATTGTAGGTTGTAGCTGAATTAGTATCTGCAAGTAGCAGGGAGGTATAAAATTGTCCTGAATGGCCTGGGTGCTTGTCTATCAGAGGTAAGATAAGCCTGGCACGGATATGCCTGTAGAACGGGCACTGAAGGAGCACATGTTATATTGTTTCTACATGACCCGAGTCACAGGGGCAGAGTCTCTCTGGGAAAGGGATCTTCCGGTAGCGGCCTTCGAGTACAGCTGATGGGAGAGCGTGGCATCGGGCCAGGGTGAAAGCCCTTCGATGAATAGGAACCTCTAAGTATGTTAAATATGCCATAGGGGAGGCAAGGTATCTGCTGTCTTCACTGATAAGGAAGCTTGGAGCCGAGGCCAGATCTAGTTGGCGCTCTGTGTCTGTGATACGTTGTTTAATAAGTGCTTTGGCTTGATTGTAATCCATAGCTAATAGTAGACCTGGAGAAAATCCCAACGAGGAGATTTTGGATGCTACCGCCTGCTTCCATGTGGATTGGAAGTCATCCTCCATGGTTAGTGGGGCAAAATACATACATTCAGAATTAAAAATTAACAGAGATCGAATGCTCTAGTAAAAAGCCAGGTCTTAAGTGCTAGAGTAAAAGGCCCTAAGTCATGCATGGCTCTCATATAGGGCGGCAAGGAATTCCATAAGGCAGGGGCAGAAATAGAAAAAGCCCTGCATCTGGTACTTTCCAATTATATGCTATAATTACAGTACAAAACCAAACTTAGCCACTGGTGGAAACCACATCATATGAAGTTATATGCCCCTGGGAACTGCTTATTCCCATGTGCCATCTTACAGCTCCCTAATTTTTTTGTAACTCATCCACACCCTGTAACATTGAAACATCAAGGAGAAAAAAGCAGAAAATACACAAACTTACTGGAGGGCCACGGGGACCAATAATGGACATGCCAGCTTCTCCAGGGGCTCCCTGTTGAAAGAAAGGGACATAATAAATTTGGGGAAGGGCTTAAAAGTTGAAAAAAATGAAAAAAAATGAAAAGAAAGTGTTCTATATATAAACAATAGAGCCAAAGTGAATATTTAAAATGACAGAATAAAGTGAACCAAAATAGAGGGCTGGAAGAAAAAGTGTGGCCAAGGAAACAATGAGGTCAGGAGGAAAGTTTAGAAGTAGAAGTGAAAAGAACAACATATACAAGGACCCATGAGAGATAAAGATTAAAAACATGTTTCTTGAAGCTGAAACAGCAGGTCTCTTGCCTTTTCCAACCAAGACAAGGAGCCATTTTGAATCTCTTCTTGAAATCAGATCAAAGAACTATTCTGGTCTTAATGTGAATGGAAAGTATAATATTACCATGTAGCTACATATATAATTATCCTGTGCCAGATTTGTCTCACGCCCAGTTATCATGCTTGTCTTCTGGGACCTTCCTTGCAAAATCAGAGGCTTTTAGTATGGCTAGGAGTTAAGCTACTACATTTTGTTTGGCAATGTGGGAGCGCACAACTCAGCCGACAGGCATCCAACTGGGAGGCGGAGGAGGTATAAGTTGCTAGTCAAGGTCTGATTCTGACAGTTATTCTTTTTTCATTTTTGTGCACATGCAGTGTACATAAACATATAGGGATAAAATATGAGTGGCCCTCAGTATTCACAGATTCTGTTTCCACGGATTCAACCATCCATGGCTTGAGAATTTTGACCCCAAAATCCCAAGAAAAGGATACCTTGATATATACAGGAAATTATTTCACTATGCTATTAAGTGTAATAGAACTTACGCATCCATGGATGTGCAAGCTTTTGCAGGTCTCCTGATTCAAGTGGCCTTGTTCCTCGGAGGTTTTCTAGTTGTTCCAAGTACGGTTAGTGGATTGCTAACAGGTTCCAGGATTCAGCAGTTTTGCTGTGGGTTTTATGATCTTGGTTATGGACATTTCTTGTTGCTGATTTTTACTGTGACTTTTTACCTTTGCATTTTTCCTCTATTTTGTATTCATCTTTCATCAATAAAAAAGGATTGCTTTCCTAAAGTCAAATGTGGTGGATGGTTGTCTGAGGGTCCAGTTTCCTGCTCTGGTTTGCCACACTATGTCCAATGTCATTCTTTGTATAAATATTTTTCTGTAATGTGATGTACCCTCTCACACTGGAAATTGCAATAGAAAGAATGTATGCTTTAAAGTCATTGAAAAGTTATTCATGACATCTGTGGAGGACCTGTGCTGGCTCCATTGAAGCCAGTACAACATGGGAAGCCTCCTGTATTGTGGGTGAAACTTCCTGCAATGCTTTCACCCTGACGTGAGGCGGGGCTTCCGCCAGAAGTCACACAATATTGTGTGATGGCCGGCGTGGGACTCTGTCCAGAAGACAGGGTGAAGTGTCCTAGAATGCATTTTTAGGTGAGCGTGATGAGGCCATAAGTTTAAGTAGAGATTAGATTGCAGCTTTTTCCACACCATTTTGGTGCAAGTTTCTAGGTAGCAAGTTTCCTGCTGCCTGACACTTGATGCTGTAGGATAGTATAAGAAGGGGCCAGTATTAGAAAATATATATTTCCTTAAAAGAGTTCAAATAATATGTGTCTAGGTGACTGCAAGACCTTAAGCTTCTCCAGAAATGTAACAACGGCCAATTGGCTTACTTTGCTAACTTCCGATCCAATTCCTGACTCAGTTTCCTGATTTCCAGTTCACCCCAAAACCCTGATATCTAGCAAAGAGCCTCTCTCCCACTCTTCCCCTCCTCTACCTTCTTAAATTTCTTTTGGAATGTTAACTGATGATAACAGTCTTTGCATCTGCTTCTGCATCTGGTGTCTACCTAGGCTACAATCCCATAAAACCAGGGTTATAAAAGCTTGCTCTTATCAAAAATTAGAAAGTGAAATTCCATAGGTTGCTTTCAAAGAAGAGGAACAGCACAGGGAACAACATGTAAACATCTGTATTGGTTCAAGGATGATCCCATGAGAGCCACTCTTATCAATGGAGAATGCACAGTATTTCATTTATTTCTCCTTTTTAATGGTAACAATAATGATGAAAAAGTTGAAAAAGCTACAAGTTTAAACAATATTTTCTCTCCCTGTCTCATAAAGTCGCATGAATGAGCAGGGATGATTTCTCAATAAAAATCCAAGGTGCTGGCTGAATATTAGATATGAATTTCCAGAGATGGACAAATTGGCTGTGTTTCATTTTGGGGGAAACTTTGGCAGACTGGACTTTTTCCATCTAAATCAACTTCTGCAGACTGTTCTGGAATCAGTTCTGGATTCTGGAAATGTCATTTTCATTGGGAAATTTATTACAATCTCATGGACTCTGATTCCAGAGCTTCGGAGATATAGGACAGCAGTGAACGTGTATTGACTTTCAGTGTCACCACTATGTGACAATGTGGTTTATAAGGCAAAGGGGGCTCTCTAGGCCCATTTAACCAGGCTTAATGCTTTATTGAAACGTGGTAACCACAAACCTAGTAAATCTACATCTGTTCTAACAGCAGTTTTGCTACAGATAGAACTGCAAACATTTCTACCCAACTGCTCATTTTCGTAATGACTGGAAACAACTGTTGTGTTGCAACCCAGAGCAGGAAACTGGACCCTCAGACAACCATCCACCACATTTGACTTCAGGAAAACAATCCTTTTTTATTGATGAAAGATGAATACAAAATAGAGGAAAAATGCAAAGATAAAAAGTCACAGTAAAAACCAGCAACAAGAAATGTCCATAAACAAGATCATAAAACCCACAGCAACACTGCTGAATCCTGGAACCTGTTAGCAATCCACTAACCGTACTTGGAACAACTAGAAAACCTCCAAGGAACAAGGCCACTTGAATCAGGAGACCTGCAAATGCTTGCACATAAATCTGGAACGATGCCTGGTGTGAAGCTGCATTCAGGCCAGGCATACTTAAGGCCGAGAAATCTATTGCGAGACACGCCTGACGTTTTTTGTTTGCATTTGTCTCAATTTGGCTGACCTACGTAAACTTTGTGCTTCTCCCCGGCTCTGCCAAATCTGCCCCTGCCTATCCACATTAGGCTGACCAGGTGTCGGATTCTCTGGAGAACTAAGGCTGGGAGGAAAAGGGAGTGAAACTTCTCCGCTCATGCATGTTCTCATGGGAATTTTGACTTTCACTTTCCAAGGCTGTAGGATTTTCACTACTCAAACCATCATCATCTAAATTGACCTCAGAATTCACATTGACGTCTACATTGGCATCAGGGAATACAATCAGAGAATCAGGTTCAGGTTCAGATTCACACGAAGGCTGAACCCCAACATGTTGTTATACTTTAACATATTTTGAGAACTTTTGTTGTGACACAGCTGGAATCAGAGAGTGTTTCTGACAAGGATGATGGTGCTCAGGTTCACAGTTTGATTCAAAATGTCCCTGCTATAGACAGTGAAGAAGTGCAGTTTCCCACAGCAAGGCATGAGAGTGTTGATACTGAAAATAGCCAGGTGCAGATTGACTCAGAGAAGGAGGACAGCTCTTTGCCTGGTTCTCAGCCTGATAATGAGCAAGCAGGGAAACAGGTTGAAGCTAATGAGCAGATTGACCTTGATGATATGGGAACTTTAGATCGGGCCGACCGGTTGGAATTCCGTGTTCGAAGGAGTGAAAGGATAGCTAACAAGAGGGACGCCAGAGGCCAAAGAAACGCCTTCATGTTTTCCAAAGGGTATTAAACAGGGTGTTTGAGACCAGATCTTTGTCAAAGCAACTTTGTGTTTACCTAAGGAGCTTGCCTAAGCTAGGTTGGATTATCTTGCAGTCTTTGTGTTCATGGTTCCAGGACTTTGTCATGTTCTCTTGAGTCTTGCTTTGCTGATGCTTATTAGATTATGCTTCAAGTGCTATGTTATCCTGATCTTTTGGAACATTAACCTTTGCTTTTAAGAACTTTTTATCTTTTATTTTTAATAAACCATAAAGACTTCTGGGTGTGTGCAGTTTGGTGTTTTTGAGCAAGGTGATTCTACTCTGAAGTGCAACAACTTTCTATAACTATATATTTAACTATTTATTTGCTATTTCTGTTGACACTGCAGGTCTTCTCCTTCCTAGCATCACCTCCATTCATCATACAGGCCAACATTCATAACATGCGAATCCTTCTACATCTTTAAGTGGCTGAATAACTCAAATGGACTCACTTTTCAAGGTATTTATGATGTGATTCACCTATGTCTGCCACTGCCGACATCAAAAAATCACTTTATTTTGGTTGAAATGAGAGGCTGGGTAGATGATGTGAAGTAAATTTCTCAAAGCAAGGATGCTAATGTTGCTATAAAACGGGGATCACCCAAAATGCACGATTGCTTCATTGTCTTTCCTACTGCCTACTCAGTTTGCTTATTTGTAAACAAAACATGTATTATTACAAAAACCACCCATAAATATGAATGCTGAGGTATATCAAAATGTGTGTATGTATCTGCCTTCAAGTCACCTGTTTACTTATGGTGACCACATGGAATCAACTGTTGACTTATAGTGACTTCAGGAAATCATAGCATTTTCTCAGGCAAAGAAGATCCACCCAGAGGAAAAGTGTTCTTGCCATACATCAAGGGAACCACTGACCACATAGGAAAGCTGATGGGGAAATACAACATACAAACTATCTACAGACCCACCAAGAAAATCCAACAAATGCTACGTTCAGCAAAGGACAAGAGAGATCCTCTCGCTTCTGCAGGAGTCTACCGGATACCATGCAGCTGTGGACAAGTCTACATAGGGACCACCAAACACAGCATTGCCGAAACATGAATCAACGAACATGAAAGGCACTGCAGATTACTTCAACCAGAGAAGTCAGCCATAGCAGAGCACTTGATGAACCAACCTGGACACAGCATTTTATTTGAGAACACAGAAATGCTGGACCACTCTCACAACCACCATGTCAGTACACAAGCATGTGGACACTTTCAACAGAAAGGAGGAAACCACGAAAATGAACAAAATCTTGCTACCAGTATTAAAAAACTCTAAAATTGCAACAGCACAACAATAGAGAGGAAGCAGGCAGGGACATCTAATTACCTCTCAACAAAAGTTTGCTCCAGGCACAGTCAGCCCATTGTATGCTAATCAAGGTGGTCAGTTGAAACATTCACACCTAGCTCCAGCAGACAAGAGTCCTTTGTCCCACCCTGGTCATTCCACAGATATATAAACCCTTTTTCCTAGTTCCAACAGACCTCATTACCTCTGAGGATGCTTGCCATAGATGCAGGCGAAACGTCAGGAGAGAATGCCTCTAGACCATGGCCATACAGCCCCCAAAAAAACCTATAACAACCCAGTACGATTATTGTTGTTGTTCATTTGTTCAGTCATTTCCGACTGTTCATGACCTCATGGACCAGCCCACGCTAGAGCTCCCTGTCAGCCATCACCACCCCCAGCTCCTTCAAGGTCAATCCAGTCACTTCAAGGATCCCATCCATCCATCTTGCCCTTGGTCGGCTCCTCTTCCTTTTTCCTTCCATTTTCCCCAGCACATTGTCTTCTCTAAGCTTTCCTTTCTTCTCATGATGTGGCCAAAGTACTTCATCTTTGCCTCTACTATCCTTCCCTCCAATGAGCAGTCGGGCTTTATTTCCTGAAGTATGGACTGGTTGGATCTTCTGGCAATCCAAGGAACTCTCAGAACTTTCCTCCAACACCACAGTTCAAAAGCATCTATCTTTCTTCGCTCAGCCTTCCCTAGATTATGGTAAATGTTTGAGTCCTTCCTCTCACCTGCTTTCCTCAATTATTTTTAAATGACAGGGGCTGAACTAAGATTTGTAATTAGGAACTATGGAGCTGGTCCTACAGACTGCATCTGGATGGGTCCATCTAGAACAGTGGTTCTCAACCTGGGGTCCCCAGATGTTTTTGGCCTTCAACTCCCAGAAATCCTAACAGCTGGTAAACTGGCTGAGATTTCTGGGAGTTGTAGGCCAAAAACATCTGGGGACCCCAGGTTGAGAACCACTGATCTAGAATGCAGGTGCAGTAAAATCATATTCTGCATGTATCTTTCCTTGACATCCCAAGTACAGCTTTCAGAAATTAAATTTAAAAAAGGATTCCAAAAATACAACAAAAGGTCAGCTGCAAATGTTGGGTTTTCCTGACCACCCCTAAAATAAGCTCTTGCAATGTTAGTTTAAATCAGTGTTTCTCAACCTGGGGGTCGGGACCCCTGGAGGGGTCGCCAGGGGGTGCCAGAGGGGTCACCAAAGACCATCAGAAAACACAATATTTTCTGTTGGTCATGGGGGTTCTTTGTGAGAAGTTTGGCCCAATTCTATCATTGGTGGGGTTCAGAATGCTTTTTGATTATAGGCGAATTATAAATCCCAGCAACTACAACTCCCAAATGTCAAGGCCTATTTTCCCCAAACTCCACCAGTGTTCACATTTAGCATACTGAGTATTCATGCCAAGTTTGGTCCAGATCCATCATTGTTTGAGTCCATAGTGCTCTTTGTAGGTGAACTACAACTCCCAAACTCAAGGTCAATGCCCACCAAACCCTTCCAGTGTTTTCTGTTGGTCGTGGGCATTCTGTGTGCCAAGTTTGGTTCAATTCCATCATTGGTGGAGTTCAGAATACTCTTTGATTGTAGGTGAACCATAAATCCCAACAACTACAAATCCTAAATTATGTTTCATAACAGGAGCAAAATTACAGTTATGAAGTAGCAAAAGAATGTTATGGTTGGGGGTCACCATGACATGAGGAACTGTATTGAGGGGTCGCGGCATTAGGAAGGTTGAGAAACACTGGTTTAAATTATAGTAAACAAATAAAAATCTGCAGCCTTGGAATATGTATGGGCTCTTTCAACTGAGAAAGGGGGAAATGAACCCAACTATTCTTGTTTCCATATATTAATCTCTTGCAAAGTATGGACTTCTAAGATTGGTTTTCGACACACAGAAGTCTGTCTGTCTTCCTTCCATCCTTTCTCCCTCCCAAATCTCTTCCCCCGCTCCTCTGAGGTTATAAATAAAGGAGTGGAATCCCTCAGACTGATTTCAATTCAATTACACGCCTATCCCATTTTTAGGGAAATGTTTCACAGTTAGTGAAGCATACGACAGCCCAGGAGTTTAATTCACAATGGCAACATTCCTAACGAATACAAGCAGCTGCTATCAACAACTCCAGCATGAAGTGTTGAGCTAGAAAAGGACTGACTCACCTTCTCTCCAGGTTGCCCCTTTAGTCCCTGGACCACCATTTACATCAGTTGCAGTCACATGCAAAAGGATGAAAGGAAGAGAAAGAGAGACACAAACACAGAAGTCAGTGTTAAGGCACATTGAGTCACCAAACAAGATAAATGCACATAGAGGCACGGATACCCAATGTGACAGGCACAGAAACGTGTTTTGCTTTGTGCTCATACATAAACACAGTGCATAGTGACTTTTGCATGTTTCTCAGTTCTGCTTAAACCAAGTTTTCAGAATTTTAGTTCATTGTCTCAGTAAAAGAGAAACTCATATTTTCTGTAGATCAATAGCTCAGCTTACAGACAACAGTTTTTGAAATTTACTTCTTGAGATTATAGATAAGGTACTGAGTGATTGTTTGTCTGTCTACCTAGCAACATATAAATAGGCAGTCAGAAAGAAACTAATTCTGCATATAAAAAAATTGGTATATTTTGACAAAGGCATTCTAGTCTAAGTTTGCTCCCTGATATACAGTGGGAGAACTTGTACCAATGGTACAAGTTCTCCCACTTAAAAAGACGAGAGAGGCCTGTAATTGACATCATAGGTAGACCTCAACTATGAGAGACAACATGAGAAGACACAACCAGAAAATCACACTGTCTGATTTTTATCGAATTTATTTGCAAATTATGGTGGAAAATAAGTATTTGATCCATAACAAAAGTTCACCTCAATACTTTTTTATGTATTCTTTTTTGGCAATGACAGAGGTCAAACGTTTCCTGTAAGTCCTCACAAGGTTGGCACACACTGTTTCTGATATGTTGGCCCGTTCCTCCATGCAGATCTCCTCAAGAGCAGTGATGTTTTGGGGCTGTCGCTGGGCAACATGGACTTTCAACTCCCTCCAAAGGTTTTCTATAGTGTTGAGATCTGGAGACTGGCTAGGCCACGCCAGGACCCTGAAATACTTCTTACGAAGCCACTCCTTTGTTGCCCTGACGATGTGCTTGGGATCATTGTCATGCTGAAAGACCCAGCTATGTTTCATCTTCAGTGCCCTTGCTGATGGAAGGAGGTTTGCACTCAAAATCTCAAGATACATGGCCCCATTCATTCTTTCATGTATACAGATCAGTCGCCCTGGTCCCTTTGCAGAGAAGCAGCCCCAAAGCATGATGTTGCCACCCTCATGCTTCACAGTAGGTATGATGTTCTTTGGATGCAACTCAGCATTTTTTCTCCTCCAAACACGGTGAGTTGTGCTTCTGCCAAACAGTTCTACTTTGGTTTCATCTGACCAATACTCTTCTGGATCATCCAAATGCTCTCTAGCAAACTTCAGTTGGCCCCGGACATGCACTTGCTTAAGTAGGGGGACACGTCTGGCACTGCAGAATCTGAGTCCCTGGTGGCGTAGTGTGTTACTGATGGTAGCCTTTGTTACGTTGGTCCCAGCTCTCTGCAGGTCATTCACTAGGTTCCCCTGTGTGGTTCTGGAATTTTTGCTCATCGTTCTTGTGATCATTTTGAACTCCACGGGGTGAGATCTTGCGTGGATCCCCAGATCGAGGGAGATTATCAGTAGTCTTGTCTCTCTTCCATTTTCTAATTATTGCTCCCACAGTTGATTTCTTCGCACCAAGTTGCTTGCCTATTGCAGATTCAGTCTTCCCAGTCTGGTGCAGGGCGACAATTTTGTTTCTGATGTCCTTCAACAGCTCTTTGGCCTTCACCATAGTGGATTTTGGAGTGTGAGTGCTTGAAGTTGTGGACAGATGTCTTTTATACTGATAACAAGTTCAAATAGGTGCCATTACTTCAGGTAATGGGTGGAGGACAGAGGCGCCTGTCTGTGAGATACAACACCGCCTGAGCTAAAAAAAACATCAAAAAGAGAGAGTCTCCACCAAAGTCAACACGACACCGAAATACAACACCGCCTGAGCTCTGCGAGCGCAGCATTTTTCCGAATGAAGCAGAGAGTGTTTGAGGACCAGGACATCCGTAGGGATACCAAGGTGCTTGTTTATAGAGCTATTGTCCTCCCAACCCTGCTATATGCCTGTGAGACGTGGACTGTCTACAGACGTCACATGCAACTCCTGGAACGATTCCATCAGCGCTGCCTCCGGAAAATCCTGCAAATCTCTTGGGAAGACAGGCGGACAAACGTCAGCATGCTGGAAGAAGCAAAAACCACCAGCCTTGAAGCGATGGTCCTCCACCATCAACTCCGCTGGACCGGCCATGTTGTCCGGATGCCTGACCACCGTATCCCAAAGCAATTGCTCTACTCCGAACTCAAGAACGGAAAATGGAATGTTGGTGGACAGGAAAAGAGATTTAAAGATGGGCTCAAAGCCAACCTTAAAAACTCTGGCATAAACACTGAGAACTGGGAAGCCCTGGCCCTTGACCGCTCCAGCTGGAGGTCAGCTGTGACCAGCAGTGCTGCAGAATTTGAAGAGGCACGAATGGAGGGCGAAAGAGAGAAACGTGCCAAGAGGAAGGCGTCAAGCCAACCCGACCGAGACCGCCTTCCACCTGGAAACCAATGCCCTCACTGCAGAAGAAGATGCAGAGCAAGAATAGGGCTTCACAGCCACATACGGACCCACAAAAATATTGGAAGACAATCCTCCTCGGAAAACAAGGGATCGCCTAAGTAAGTAAGTAAGTCTGTGAGACCCAGACATCTTGCTTGTTTGTAGGTGACCAAATACTTATTTTCCACCTCAATTTGCAAATAAATTCATTTAAAATCAGACAATGTGATTTTCTGGATGTGTTTTCTCATGTTGTCTCTCATAGTTGAGGTCTACGAATGATGTCAATTACAGGACTTTGTCGTCTTTTTAAGTGGGAGAACTTGTACAATTGGTAACTGACTAAATGCTTTTCTCTCACTCTATTGCTGTTGAATAACTTTTGATGTATGTGTGTGCGTGTGTGAGAGAGAGCATACAGCTATGCAGTAGTCCTCTGCACTCTGAAATAGTACACTCTACGGACTGGTTTTTTCTTCTGGTGATGACCTCTTGGGAGGCAGCCAAAAGTGGGAGATACAAAGCAGTGAAGCAAGGAAGCATACTGAGTTCAAAAGCAGGCCAAGCAAATGATATTATATGAACATTAAGCTCACAGTGTTAGCTGGGCTGACCTATGTCTGCGCCCGACCGAAGTTAGTAACGCAGAAATAGCAATAGGCCTGATAAGCATCCTACAACCCACCATTTTTAAGGAGGTCTGACTGTTTGGAAGATCATTTTGAAATCAGTTTTATTTTAGCCAAAACCATGATAATCAAAATCAAAATCAAATTCTGAAATAAGAACAAGGAAGGAAAATACACCTATGGTTAAAATACAAAAGACTACTTTAGTTGAAGGATATTAACCAATTTCCTCAAGTGATCCAAACAGACTGTGTGAAAGGAAACTAGTTGTGAGACGCTTATGGATAAAAACACAGAATGTTATAGAATCACTAATAAAAATATGGTTTGGCATATACTCATGACAAGACCAGACCACCAACTTTCTAGGTTTCAATATCCATGTTATACAGAGAACTCGAACATTTTACTTCATTTGAAATTGAAGGGTTCTCTTTGGAAGAAAACATCTTTGAAAAGTTTCAGAGGAATCTAAAATATTTTTTTTTGAATTTGGCTGGCAAAGTTCCTCTACATTTCTAGGACTTAGAATCATAGAATCAAAGAGTTGGAAGAGACCTCTTGGGCCATCCAGTCCAACCCCCTGCCAAGAAGCAGGAAAATCGCCTTCAAAAAACCCCCGACAGATGGCCATCCAGTCTCTGTTTAAAAGTCACCAAAGAAGGACCCACCACAACACTCTGGGGCAGAAAGTTCCACTGCTGAACAGCTCTCACAGTTAGAATGTTCTTCCTAATGTTCAGGTGGAAATTCATATGTTTATGAAATATAATATGGCATTACTGCATTCATAGTGATATACATGTATATGTACTACACGTAATACAATGATTTGGATTAATCCAATAGATGTGATACATTAACTGTGTATTAACCTCATTGTTCTGGTACAGCTGTACCAGGAGCTCCAACTTTATTTGCTTTGTATTAAATGTTTGGTTGCAGTCCTGGGTTTCAGGGACTCTGCAGATAGGTGGCTTCTTTTGGTTACAGTCATAGGGCAAGTCACCTGTCCATCATCGTTAAGTTTGGTTCCGCTCCTTGCTCAGGGCAATTGGGAAGGGAAGGGAGCCATTTCTAGTTAGTCTCAGCAAGGATAGTTAATGTACAGGATGTGTACAGGCTTTTCCTGTGAAAAAGCTTCAACCCTTAAGACTTTCCGGGGGGAAACAGTCTTAAGAGCATTCAAAGATTCCCAAAGATTCCCAGGGAAACAGCCCTAAAGCTCTGAGGAATTTCGGAGGGAAAAACAGCTTTGAATATCAAAGAACTCCAGCTGAAGAGACTACAGGCCTTGCTGATAGGTCCACTCGGTGCTTTGGGACGCAGTTCAAACTGGGTGGAGCCCACATCAGTTAGGTTTAGGTTCACAGTCAGCCTGGGAGAAGTTAGAAAGGGATTTTCCTTTAAAGTAAAGTAACAGTTAGAAGCCACCAGTTGCACAAAAGCCTGGAAGCATTTGTTTAACCTTTTGAAGACAAGAGAAGTTTCTGTTTGATTGTTCCTCAATAAAATACTTTGTTATATTTCACAAGCCCTCTAAAGACTGTTTGTGGTGGAGAATCCCTAAGAGCTTCTCTTTCGGCCCCCTGGCTTCCTGCTGGGCAAAGGTTGCACGTCCTGTTCTAAAGGAAATTCTTTACAGGCCCAGCGCACGACAGAACACTCATATACTGCAGCAGTTAGCTCCACTTAGGCCTAAAACTAAGTGGCTGTTACAGATGAAGAAGACCCACTGAATCAACTACTGAATTGTACACTGACTGGACCATGGTGGTCCACGCCTTAGTTACCTCAAGACTGGACTACTGTAATACATTCTACATAGGGCTGCCCTTGAAGATGGTTTGGAAACTACAGCTGGTACAAAGGTTGGTGGCCAGATTGTTAACTGGATCAAGTTACAGGGAGCAGTCAACCCCTCTGTTTAAACAGCTCCACTAGCTGCCGATAATTTTCTGGTCCCAATTCAAGGTGCAGGTAAAGCTCTAAACGGATCAGGACCTTCCTATCTTTGCAACCGAATCCTCCCCTACAAGCCCACATGGTCCTTAAGATCTTCCGGGGATGCTCTTCTCTTGCTCCCACCCCTGTCTCAGGCACGGTTGGTGGGGACGAGGGAAAGGGCATTCTCAGTGGTGGCTCCTTGTCTCTGGAACTCCCCCCCAGGGAGATTAGGCTGGCACCCTCCCTACCCACATTCCGTAAGGAATTAAAGACGTGGATGTTTCATTGTGCATTCTATTGACGACTCCTATGACAAATTATTTGTATCATGACCTGAATCATCAGGTGCTCTGCTATGGCTGACTTCTCTGGTTGAAGTAGTCTGCAGTGCCTTTCATGCTCCTTGATTCGTGTTTGGGCAATGCTGCTGCGTTTGGTGGTCCCTATGTAGACTTGTCCACAGCTGCATATACGGTAGACTCCTGCAGAAGTGAGGGGATCCCTCTTGTCCTTTGCTGAACGTAGCATTTGTTGGATTTTCTTGGTGGGTCTGTAGATAGTTTGTATGTTGTGTTTCCTCATCAGCTTCCCTATGCAGTCAGTGGTTCCCTTGATGTATGGCAAGAACACTTTTCCTCTGGATGGATCTTCGTCTTTACTCTCGTGGCTTGTTCTCGGTCTTGAAGCTCTTCTGATGTCTGAGGTGGAGTATCCATTGGCCTGGAGAGCCCAGTTGAGGTGGTTCAGTTCATCTTGGAGGAGGTGGGGTTCGCAGATTATTTTGCACCGTCTGCCAAGGCTTTAATGGTGCTTCTTTTTCGACTTGGGTGATGGTTGGATTTCTTATGTAGATATCTATCTGTGTGTGTGGGTTTTCTGTAGACGGTGTGACCCAATTGTTGATCTGGTTTGCGGATGACTAGGACATCTAGAAAAGGCAGTCTTCCTTTATTTTCTTTTTCCATGGTGAACTGGATCACCACTCAACAAAAGATCCCCCCAGGCTCTGTCAGACCATTATATGCTAATCAAGGTGGTCAGTTGAAACATTCACACCTAGCTCCAGCAGACAAGAATCCTTTGTCTCACCCTGGTCATTCCACAGATATATAAACCCACTTTCCCAGTTCCAACAGACCTCACTACCTCTGAGGATGCTTGCCATAGATGCAGGCGAAACATTAGGAGAGAATGCCTCTAGACCATGGCCATATAGCCCGAAAAAACCTACAACAACCCAGATCTCGGGGTGGGTAGAGAACACTACATGCTTTAACAGTTTTGCATTCCATTTATTGTAACAGCTCTCATTAAACTGTTTTAAGTTGAATCCCTGATATATATATTAAAAAACCACCACAAACAGGCCCCTGTCATTAACAACTAGAAGTCCTGAAATACGAAAAATAATGAAAACATGTAGGAAAATTGTGATCTTCAGTAATGGTGAGAAAACTTCTGAAAATTTTCTGTCTTGCACATATAAAAACAAGATAATCAAATATATCTCTGTAAATAACATCCTTGTACATAACATTTACATTCTCTGTGGGAGATGGTACGTTGTGGAGTAGACTTTGATAAGTAAACATGCCAGTTTTTTTTCTTGCATAGCTGCGGAAATGCATCAAAGCTCATATCCAGCCCTTATTTTACTTATGAAAGAGAAAAGAAGCTCATTGAAACTGCCAGCCATAGAAAGATCTTTTGAGGGGAAAAGTTTAAAATGTGGAAAAGAGATCAAGAACAGGTTAAAGAGGCTTCTTAGAAGGCATTGTGACCATATCAGATGTCAGCTATTAGTTTAACTATGTAACTTGTTCTACATGTTATGATGTTCCCTTTTTCTCCTTTCAAGCAATGCTCGTTCTTAGCTAAAGAAATGTCCAAAATATCTATTTAATCTATCCCTTCAAGAGCAGCTTTTCTCAACTATTAGAAATACAAAAAAATCAGTACATTTTAGAAACACCTTTTTTTATAAATGCACTAACTACTCTCATTTTAATTAGTGCTATAACTGTTCTCCAGCCCAGATCAAATTTACTCTGATAGTTAAACATCAATTTCTATTCATCGTTTTCATGTAAAAAGTTCCATATTAGATTTACTCATGAATTATTTGTGTTTGTGTATGAGAGAGAGACACTTTATGGGCTCTTCCAGACAGGCCCTATATCCCAGGATCTGATCCCAAGTTTTCTATTTATACCAGATTATCTGGAAATGCGGACTCATATAATCCAGTTTACAGCAGAAAACCTGGGATCAGATCCTGGGATATAGGGCCTGTCTGGAAGGACCCTAAGGCTACAATCCTATATTAACATGGGAATAAATCCTACTTGACTCTTAGTTCTAAATCTCAAGTTACTTTGGCCCCTTCCACATAGCTGAATAAAACCTCACATTTTCTGCTTTGAACTGGAATAAATGGCAGTGTGGAATGAGATAACCCAATTCAAACAGATATTGTGGGATTTTCTGTCTTGATATTCTGAATTATATGGCTATGTGGAAGAGCCCTTAGATTTTTCCATCTTTTGTTTACTACATTGCATTTACCATATATTCTGGCATATAAGACGACTGGGTGTATATGACGATCCCAACTTTTCCAGTTAAAATATACAGTTTGGGATATACTCGCCATATAAGACTACCCCTCTTCCAACACACACCAAATAAATTTTTTAAAAGCATTAGATTTGATTTCAATATGGTAATTTTCCTATTACTGTACCTCCTTCTCTGCCTCTCAAATCTCGCACATGCGCACTTGCAGTCTTTAAGAGCGAGATCTGAGAGGCAGAGGAGGAGGTACGGTAATAGGATACAAAAGCGGGCCAGACAGGTAAAAGAGTTGTGTTTTTCTGGGCTCAGAGCTACTCTATGTCTTTTTTTCCATACCCCGGGTGCCCCAGACACCTGCAGCTTGCTCCGCCCTTCACTTACACCTTTCCAGTGAGGTGCCCCTTCACCTCACCATCAGGACCACATTAAGTCCATGAATCCTGATGAATGGATTTTCTTCTACCGTACTTGTACAGCGTCGCCCTTAATGCTTTCATACAGTTGCTGCATACGGCAGGGATGTGGCCACTGCCATTTATGAGCTCCCCCCACAATATGCAGCAACCACAGATTCTCCAATCCGGATTGGAAGTTTCAGCATCCGCTCTATAAGATGACTCCCAGTGTATAAGACTACTCCCTCATATAAGACGACTCCCATGCACAAGGCTACTCCAGTGTATAAGACGACTCCCACGTATAAGAAAACCCCTGACTAAAAAAAAGTAGTCTTATATGCCAGAATACATGGTAAATCAGCCTTTTATTTTATTTTTAAATAATTCCTTTTCCTGCTTTCACTCCTAGCCAGCCAAACTAGATTCTAGAAAAACCCTAATTTCTCAGAGACAATGACTGTATAGCCTCCTATTCAAAGAGACCCCCCAATTAGTGAAAGGTTTAGAAGTAAGTGTGTCAGATAATTATGAAACATTTAAGACTCACCGGTCGTCCACGGATCCCCATGGCGCCTTTGTCTCCCTAACAATTAATGCAAAATCAGAACGCAGTCGGAATCTGATCATATGTGATTCTATAAACTGATACAAGTGAACTTTCACAGGAGGTCTTATGCAATTAAAATGATGACTTTAGATTTTATATATGAATACATGGAGTTATGTGCATTTTATGGAATGATGTGATAAGGTTATCTGCTGCATATAAAATCTGCTTACATGCATCCGATATTGAAATATTTTCTTATTTCTGAAGTGCAACATATATAAGTAAGGAAGGGAAAATTTATCCTTTGGCATAGACAAAAAATATGGAGCATGGTTTATATGTTTATACTTACCCGTTTAATGGGGACTACAAATTTACTGGATATACTGAAAGATGGAGCGTGTTTGTCATGTATTACAACGTCCATACCTTTGTCCTTCCAGACATTGATGGACTACCCACTTACAGCTTCATTTAAATGTTTATCTATGTTTTGTTTAATTGTGTAATCCTCCTTTTGAACAATATGCCATCCAATACATCATTAGGATTTAAAAAAATAGTTTGGGTGATCCTTAGTGCTTTCGGTTTATAGTAACATAAAGACCTGAATCTCATTTATAGTTGCCTGTCCAAAGAACTGAGCTCTTGCCATGTTGTCTACCATGAAAGTCATGACAAGAATAATATGGTGAGGATGATAAGGAGATGCCAAGGAATACTCTAGGACAGGCCCGTAGCCAGGATTTTGATTCTGGGGGGTAGGGGGTTGAGTTTGATTCCGGGGGGAGGGGGGCTGAGTCTGAGTGAAAGAGGGTCTACCCTAGCAAACCTTTTGTATCGTTACCCCCAAAACCCCATGCATATGAGATATATTGAGCATGGTGATCGGATCATGATATGAATAAACATAACAGTTTAAATAATGTACCAGTAAGGCCTTTTCGCAGACCACCATGAGAATTTCAGGAGGTGGAGCCCCCCACCCCCCGGCTACATACTTGCTCTAGGAGTAACCACAAATCAAGGCAAAACAGTAGTAATTTAAATACAAATTTCTCAGTATTACTATACAATAGGCCTGGGTAACAACGGAAAAATTTGTTTCTAAACTCATTTCGTTTTTAGGGGTCCATCGCGTTTCATTTTTTAAAAGAATTCCGAAATTTTCCTTTTAAAAATTTCGAAATTTATGAAATTTTGTTTAATTATGAATCGATTCGTTAATGGTGGACGCGATTGCGCAATATGCTAAAAAAAACCTCCAAATGGGACAGGGGGAACTTCTGAAGCTTCCCTCTCCCTCTGTTGTTGACTTTTGGTGTGATAAAACAAACATCAACTATAAAACTTGCACCAGACATGCGAAAATAATTACGAAATAATTACAAAATGATTTCGAAATAATTTCAAAATAATAACGAAACAATTATGAAACAATTACGAAATAAATTGAAAAAAATGGTGTCGAATCTAATTTACTCCTCACACTATTCCTGCATGGCTCAATATTGGATCGTAAGCTAATTTAAATACGAATTAATAACGAATTACGAAATTAACGAACGAAACCGCCCAAGCCTACTATACAATCCTAATTAAGCAAAATGCTAAGAAACAATGAGATATCCACAAGCTTCTCAATGTCATCTCTACATGCACTGGCCATAATACTGTAATAATACTCATCATAAAGACCAGACAAAGCGTTCCACTTTGCCTGGCATCCGGGAGAAAAGAGAGGGGCAAGGAGAAAGTGTTGCCCTCCCAGCGAGGCCCCGTGCTGGCTCCATTGCTGGCTCCAAGTCATACAATGTCATGTGATGCCACTGAGTGAAAGCATGCTGTTCTGGTACGGCCGTACCAGGAGCTCCAGCTTACCTTGCTAGTTGTTATTTGTTGCATGTATTTTAAAGTTCTATGCTTTTGCAGTTAGATGGCTTTCCTTACTTTGCAGTTATTGGGTCAATGACCTGTCAATTATCATTAGGTTCCCTAGTTCCGCCCCCTTTTGAGTTTTGGTGGGAATTAGGAGTCATTTTGGCTCAGTCCACACAGAGAAGCCTTTCTTACAGGACTTAAACCAGGACCTCCTGTAAAAGGCTTCATCATTTACAGCTTGGCCGGGGAGAAATAGCCCCATAGCTTGGCCAGGGAGAAATAGCCCCATAGCTTGGCCAGGGATATACAGCTACAGCCTCACAGCTCTCTTGCTAGGGATCCAGTCCCACAGTGCTTCAGCCAGCCATCACTGGGAAGTGAACATCTTCCTCCTCCTGGAAGTTCTGCAAAGGTCTCTGTTCGGTAAGGGCCCTTTGCGGCAACCATAAAGCAGATTGGACCAGGTGTAAGGGCCCCACGCCAACAGAAGAGAAGACAGATTGCCCAGGGTAGAGGTTGGGGATTTTCCCAACAGTGAAGGAACAGTTGCCTGCCTTTCGGGGCAAGATTGAGAAAGCCAATAGTTTATTAAGAAAACTTTGAAGCTAATAGTTGATCTGTTATTTGTTCAGTAATAAAGATTTTGTTGCATCTTTAAAGACTTTGGAGCCCATCTTTTCAGGAAAATCCCAAAAAACCTCTCTCTGAGGCAACCCCGGTGTCCCGTTGGGCTAACAGAATTTAAGCCCTGTTTACAGTCTTTTATAGGAGCTCAGCGCACGGCAGCACACATCCTAGAACACTAAATTAATTGATGAAGCCATTACAGCAATAAAATAAAATAAAAAAATAAAAAGAGACATGCACCTTTCAGTTTCCTACGGAGCACATGGGTACAATTCTACGTTCATAGTGGTGCTCCCAAGGTTGTAAGGGGACTTACCCTGGAACACTGTGGCTAGTGATGGACAAATCTTTTGACAGGGATGTCTGAATCTACTCAATCCAATCGTTTCCAACTAAGGGCAGCTCTAGACAGCCTTTTATCCCAAAAACATCCTCACTCTCCTGGCACGTCATTTCTATGCACTGGGAGAGCCTGCTGGGGCTTCAACTGGACAGCATGTAAGTTTTCTAAGGGATCTAGGGGCTTGAGGGGAGAGGGGTGGGTATTCCCACAGTTTACCAGGCTTATTTAGCCCGGTAAACTGTGGGAATACTGTCTGGACTGCAGTATTCTGCAGTCCAGACCCGTAAATAGTGCATTTATCCCACACCTTCCAAGAAGGTGTGGATACATGCACTATCAAATTAATTCACTACAAACCAGGGTGTTCCTGGTTTGTAAAGAAATAATGCGGGACTGTCCAGAATGTTGTCTGGACAGCCCTTCCTTTATTGCAGGAGTTCCCAAAATAAAGGCCCTGTCTAGATGGGCCCTAAGTTCCCTTCTACACTTCCATATTTATTATTATTATTATTATTATTATTATTATTATTATTATTATCTTTATTTGTACCCCGCTAGCATCTCCTGAAGGACTCGATGCGGCTTACATAGGCCAAGGCCTCAATAGAACAACAATGTGACAAATACACATTGTTGTTCCAGGCAAATCAAAACATTAAAGCAATAACAGTAAGCAGTAAAAACAGTACCACCGTAACACAATAAAACTAGGCCAGGCGAAATGTAATGGGTACAGGTTAAAAAGTGCTGAGTATGCTGAGTGAGATATAAGGATTTTTGGGTAAGTGCAATGTGCGGACAATCTTAATCTCTAATAAAGTGCTTCTGGGACATATTGCTGGAGTATCCTATTCTGGAAAGGCGCACCGGAATAGCCAGGTCTTCAAGCTCTTCCTAAAGATTGCCAACGTAGGGGCTTCTCTGATGTCCTTGGGGAGGGTGTTCCAGAGTCGGGGGGCTACCACAGAGAAGGCCCTGGCATTGTCCCTCATCCAGTGGGATCGTGAGCAGTGTCTCTCCGGATGAACGAAGAGAACGTGCAGGTTCATAAACAGAGATGCAGTCACGCAGGTAGGCAGGTCCCAAACCGTTTAGGGCTTTGTAGGTGAGCACCTGCACCTTGGACCACCCCAGCCAGATCAGCCTTCACGAGGTACGGTCGCAGTTAGCGCACAAGTCTCAATTGTGCAAA